CAGGAAACCCCAAGAGGCACCAGTAAGCCCCAGGAGGCCCCTACAGGCCCCAGTGGGCACCAGCAGGCCCCAGGAGGCCCCAGGAGGCTCCAGGATGCTCCGGGAGCCCCAGAAGACCCCAGGAAACCCTAGGAGACCCCAGGACGCCCCCAGGAGGCCCCAGAAGGTCCTCATGCCGACCCCAACTGCGTGTTTTACGTGTGTGCCTATGGATTGCCCTTGTCCTGTGGAATCCTATGTGTTTCATTGGCCTCGAACCCTGTGTGTTTTACACATGTTTCCAAGTTCACACTCGGACTCACTCAAAATCACACTCACACTCACACTCACGCCACTCACACTCATACAACTCACACACACACACCGACACTGCAATACTCGGACCACTCACATTCAGGTAATTACACTTACCAGTTTCGTAGCTGGACCTAAACGGTGTTTGGGCGATTTCGTGGGCCGTTTTCGTTTCGATTCCGTTTTGCGGTAAAGGCAGATTGAAGACAGAACGAGGGAGCACGAAAACAAAACGAAAACGAAAGACACCGTTTAGGTTCAGCCCTGCTCAGGCCCACTCATGCCCAGACTCTCTCGCAGACATTCGCAGCGGAAAAGGTCCAGGCAAGTAGATACACATGTGGGGACCTCCGCGTCGAGTAATTTCAGTACGTCCCCGGCCCCCCTGGGCCGCGCACATGCCACCGGCCATGATTTGCCCCCCCCCCCCCCCCCCCCCTCTTGGACGCCTCCCTCTTGGCCGCCCCCAACCTACAGGAGGCATGGATTCAAAAATAGTGAAAAATAGTCAGGGGAATATTGTTCGATTTATCATTATGGTTATTATCATTTGCATTCTCATCATTATCATTATTATTATCATTATTATTACTATTCTGCGCATTGCCAGACTACTTTCGCATTATGCTTGCAAAGTCCGCCTGCAGGAGGACATGTCCGACCTAAGCCCGGAGGTCCGTTTCTCGGCAGGCCGGCCGGGCATCTTTTTGTGCTTCGGGTCGATTGCACCATTTGATCCGCCTTTTTGTTCCCCAGGCGTCGTTTCAAGAAGATTGGCAAAAAAGATCACGCCGTCGTTAAAACATATTGTTTTGTGGTTCAGGTAAGCTGCACCATCTGATCCGCCCTTCTTGTTCCCCAGGCATGATCGCGTCGTTCGAAAAGATCACGGCGGGGCGGTCTGTGGCCGGCTTCGGCCTCCAGGGGCCCCTGCTCGGCCCAGGGGCCGTCAGAAGACGAGTCGGGATGGAAAACCGGCCCCGGGGAAGGAGTCGGGACTTCCGGGGGCCTTGACAAAAATCAGGACATCGCAGGAGGGGACAAAAACACACAGGCACAATCAATCGTCAACCCCCAGGAAAAGATGGGGAAATATGGGAAGTGGGGGGGAAGACGAAAGCCCAGAAAAATACATGAAAATATAGGGGATCCTGTCATTTGTGTGTGTATTTGGTTGTGTGTCCCTTGGCCCCTTGAACATCGCATGTCTGGGCCCCTTCCTCTGAGAGTCAGTGGAGGCACTTCCACTGGGTGTCGGCGCTGCGGGCGTGGGGCGGTATGCGTGCCTGCAGCTCCGAAGCTCTGGAGAAATTTGGGCGGGCGTTTTTTTTGGTTGGGGGGGGGGCCTCTGGGAGCCCTCAACGGGCCCCCGACCGTCGGAAAACGAGTCGGGATGAAACGCCGTTAGCGGGCGTTTTTTTGTATTTTTCGGCGTTCGGGGGCCCTCAACGGTCCCCGGGACCGTTGACTCGGGATGAAAAGTAGGGAAGTGGTCTGGACCTCCGGGTGTCCACGCATCAAGGTTGGAGCGCGGGATGGTTGGGTTAACCAGACATGGAGGCGTTTCACGACCGACCAACGCACCCATATCCGTAGGGGGGATGGAGGAGGCAATGTATGGGTGTGTGTTGTTCGCTCGCCAGCGTGGTGGCCAGAAACCACAACGGAGGGCTTTTTGATTGTTTCGGCCGTTGCAAGGCCCCTCTGGGGCCGTCAAGCAAGGATTCGGCATGAGATGGTTCAAGCAGTGGCGAAGCGTCCTGGCTCGCCTATAGCCCTACCAAACAATGTTCTAAGAACCTTTTGTGGTTTCCACTAAATGTTCTTAGAACATTTCTGGCGGAGTCTGTCTTGTTTTATCGCATTGGGTTTATGTCCTAAGAACATTATTTTTGTTCTTAGAACATGTCTGGGTTCTAAGAACACTTCGTGGTAGGACTACAGGAATGCCGGGACGGTCGGTCCCTGCTCAAATAGTGGCCTTGGGGGAAGGCTCGGGCTTCCTGGGGGGCCCGTCGAGGGGGGGATCCAGGGATCCGACCCAGACACAGTCGCGCCGCGCAGAAAAATCACGCCTGGAGGTGGTTGGACATATTCGGTCTCTGTAGGGGCCCTCGCCGGGGCGTGGGACTGTCAAGCAACGACTTGGGAAGAAAAACCGGTCCCGGGGACGGGGTCGGGACTTGCGGGGACTGCGTGTGGAAAA